TCTTTTCCCTAGCTGCTTTCAAGATCCCGTCTTTATCTTTGATTTTGGCGAGCTTGATTATTATATGTCTTGGTGATTGATTGTCTTTTAGGGTCTATCCATCCTAGGGTTCATTGATCTTCTTGAATGCTTATCTTTTCACTTTTCATGATGTTAGGAAAATTTTTTTCCAGAAGCTTTTTAACTATCTCCTCTGTGGGCTTTTGTGATTGTTTCTGTTCTGGAATGCCAATAATTCTTACGTTATTCCTCTTCATGTTATCCAACATGAATCTTAGGCCTTCTTCAGATATTTTTAAACTTTTTTGTATTTGTTCTTCTATTGTTAGTAGTGTTGAGAAATTTATCTTGTAGCTCACTAGTTCTGGCTTTATCTCTTTAATTCTACTGCTTTGCCCTTTCAATGTATTTGTCCATTTCTTATATTCTATTATTAATCATTTGGACCTCTTTCTGTAAGTTTTAAATTGTTTCCAACACTGTATCTATCTTATTTGATTGTTCCTGTAGCACTTTTTTGACTTCTTCCTTATTTTTCTCAACTCCATTATATAGTGTTTGATACATTTTATTATCATTTTTCTGAATTCCTTCTTTGGCATTTTCAAAGCCTGCCCATCTTCCAGTATGGAGTGTAGGTCTACTTCCAGCTCATTTGCCTCAGTCACTTTATCTCGTTTCTGAACTTATGCAGATATGGTCATCTGCTTCTGTTTTTTGGGTATCTCCAGGGGTTATCTGTGGACTTAATACTTAGATGGGTATGTATTTTGGTATTTTTTATGCTCTCTGATTGCCTTCAGGTAGATGTAATCAGGAAATGGGCTTCCCTTTTCACTCTTCTTCTTGAAAAATTTCATGATGCCACTGTTGGTCGTTTTGATGTAATTTAGGATTTAATTTTCGGCCTATTTCTTCTTTGGTCTGCTTGTCCGGCTCCATAATCCCCATTCAGTTCTTTTTTCTAGTTGTAAACAGTTCAGGGATGGCTGTGGCCATTTGGTTTTAATTGGAAACTGTCTCTTTAAATTTCCAGGAGATCTATTCACATGCGTAGTAGAACCCTACGAGGGTGGGGCTGGGGTGCCCACTGTTTCAGGCACACCTATAGTAACCAGAATGGAGGTGCTCAGACAGCAAGGGACCAATGAACAGCTACCAAAGGAAAATAATGTCCACACCTTTATCTCTTCGGTTCTGCCAGGTGTCTTGTGCTTGTTCTTATCCTTCCCCTGCTTGGTCTCACCCAAGATGGTGGCTCCTGGTGCAGCTGAGTGTTCCAGTTAGAAAGCAATGGATTTCTTGCTTTTGCCACAAATTCCTCTAGCTGTAATTCTTCCATCCTTCTAAATATTTCTTTATATGTGGTGTAGAGTCTGGTACCATCCCCTGAGCCTGCTTTGTCAGGTATTCTGTGTTGTTGGCGGAGCTCTTTACTACACGTCCATCCGATCCACCATCTTGTTTATTTTCCTCAGGGGCTTTTTCTGTGCCTTGTTGTTACCACTTTATTCCTGTCACAACTGCTTCTATGGCAAAGGTTTTAAACATAGTATACTTTATTCAAAGGCAATCAATTCAAAATGCCCAATTGTAATAAGTAACAACATTGTATTAGAATAAGTTTATCTTTCAATCTTTCCCATTTAAATTTATCAGACAGCTATCCATTGTTTTCCCTAAATTGTTATGTGTTCAGTATTTTTTATATATATACACTTTATTCTCATTATTTATGTTAGTTATGCTCTATAAAGCCACACAAACCCTGAATTAGCAAATACTGAGCCATTGTTTATAGGGGAAATTCAGGGATAAGTTCCTACAAAATTGGTCATAGCATTTTTGTCAGCTGATCAGTTAATAGCCTTACTTTATGTGTGTTTCTGTTTATATGTGTTCCTTATGTAATACATACTGTTGATTCATTAACAACATTGAACTTACAGTTGACAGGACTGTAACTCATGTCTGATCGAAGCTTATCTAACATACATTTGACGGCCTTCAAAAAGTCTGTGGAAATTTCATTATCTTTTCATTCCATTTTTCCAAGAACGCTTTGATTCCTCCTCGTATTGTTTCTTTAAGGAACATCGTGGCCTTTTTGGAACATTATCCAGCAGCTCAGCACTATGCTTGGGGCCATTTTAAAAAGGAAAATTACAAAAGAAAGAGGACAAAAATATGTGAATACATGACACTAATAAAGCAGCCCATGAAAAGGACACTATTTTCCAGTTTGAGTAGAAACAAGAACACAGAGTATCATCACCTTATTAAACCTGTGTACACAAAATAACTTCCAGTTTTTTACTGCTCTCTGCATGTCCGTGAACAAGCACAAAAGCACTGCCAGTATTGATTTGGGGGTTACAGATAAGTTTTAGCAAGCTGGCAATTCATAAACATGGAATCCACAGACGACGAGAATTGGCAATATTTTTATACATTACTCTTTTGAGTGGTGCCTTAATTACCTTTTTTGTTGTTGTTAAGTGCCGTGGTGTCAGTTCCGACTCATAGCAACCCTGCACAGGGTTTCCGAGGCTGTAATTTTTACGGGAGCAGACTGCCTTATCTTTCTCCCGTGGAACCGCTGGCAGTTTCGAACTGCTGACCTTGCGGCTCGCAGCCCAATTCGTAACCACTACGTTACCAGAGCTCCTTTAGTCAGATTGAAAAGAAGACAGTGACGTGGGTTTAAACAGTCGGCCTTGTGGTTCGCAGTCCAGTGCTGACCCTGCATCATCACACCAGAAGCCGCTATTTGCTTTTTAAAAAATGGCTATGCTAGGCACATCTTCAGCAGTGCAGTTCTTGCTGTATGGACTGTTGTTTTAGAAGCTACAAACTTGACTTCCTGTCCAGCACTGAACTGCAATTGAATCATTTGGATTCTAATCATGTGGAAAGGCAAGCCTCTTCTTGCCCTGTGCTGTTCCAGGGTGTTATCTGCTCAATGATTTCTGTTGACATTTAATTCTTGTATATTTAACTACTGTTTCATCCCTAGGGATGAAAATAGGTAAAATATGCTGTATTACAACTGCTAACTTAAACACTGGAAGGGGAAGAAATGAAGGCTACTTTTAATAGAAAGTGAGCATAGCTTCATTGAAATACGGAAGACACCCTTAATAGAAAGAAGCTGAGGTGGTCATGTCCTTCCTCTTCATATGGGCCATGCTTCCTTTAAAACACATTCCTTTCCAGGCAACAAGAATGGTAAACTTACTTTGGATTCCTTTTTCATTGGATCCTTGAAACCCGCTGTTCACTCTGATGAAACCTCTAACTATAAGAGTTTAAATAGTTTTCCTAAGAACCCTTATTGAGCAACTAGAAAGACATGTCAACAGAGATACAAGTGATGATAAAATATAAGTGATGATTAAACTTGAGAATAGGTAGAATAAGTGATCTTTGCTACTCTTAAATGCTGCTCCTCATTGGTAAAGTGTTATCTGTTGAGTTTGTAGGTAGATAGTTTACCTGTTCAGCCACTTCTTTACACTGGCCTGCTCTGTGTGTGTGTGTCTCCCCTCATTCCATGTGAGTTATTACATTAAAGATAACCTGCATCCATTTGCTACCTGATTCTGAATCTTTTCCTTGAAATTAAAATGTCATGCTGGTTTGATTTCTGTGAGAGTGAGTGGAATCACAAATGTGACATTTATATATTTATGACATAAGCTCTTGGCATTTATTTTGCATGTGTTCAAACATACCATTGTGAGATAAAAACAGGACAAAGCAGAGTTTTTTGGCATCTTGCAACAACATGTGAAGTTGTTTAGGAGGTGTAAAGATTTGTAAGGTTGCTTGCCAAGGGTGATTTGCTGTGGGAATTTCCAGCTGCAAATTTGTTTTTGGAAAAGATGCAAATGGATTTGCTCTTCAGTTCTCCAAATTCACCTTGAGTTAAAAAGTCCCTTTGGCAAATATTCGTAAGATTTGAATAGATGCATATTTAACAAGTAGATGAATATAGGTTCATTTAAAAGTTTAAAATAACCTTTAGGAATTGCTTTCAGATTTCTCATTCTCCCAAGAAGTGCTCACGTGTGAATCTTTATAGCATCTCTAAGTAAAAGTAGTAAGTGTCAAACACATCCTTGTACTATTTTTACTTAATGATAATGCAGAAGTATTCGGAGGAAAGAATAAATGTGATAATGAGTTTATCCTATTTTATTCCATATTCAATTTCATGTAAATACTTCTCCTTTATTTTTCTTCTCAGCTGATTTTGGAGATTATAATCAATTTGATTCTCAAGATTTCCTCAGAGAATATGTGCTGTTTCCTATGGTAAGTGTAATTTCCTCTTTCTTAATTGATTTTCTACCTTCTTTGAACTTTGAAAATCTCAGAGGGTTTTTAATGTGCACAGATTCCCTGGGGAGGTAAGTACATGCATTTCTAAAGTGGGGTCAGGCTTATTAAATGTTGAGACAGTGAAGGTGCCTCCTTTTGGCCACTAGGTACTCCTTCCCTGAATCCTCACACCTCTGCTTACTCCGCCATCTTGGCATCTTTTCTGAACACACTGAGCTTACTCCTTCCTAGGCCTTTTGTACTAATGTCCTCGCTTGGAATGCCTGGTCCAGCTCTTCACATGGCTGGCTCCTTTTTGTCCCTGAGGTCTCATGTCAAACATTACTTTCTCATAGGGGCTGTGTTCTCCTTGATTATCAACCAGATGCATCCCAACTACTTAACTAGATCCTCTTAGTGTGTATGCAGAATAAAATGGTTCTGTAAGGTTTACAGGGCTGTGATCTTTTAGAAGCGGATTTCTCGACCTGTCTTCCAGTAGGTTTGAACTGACAACCCTTCAGTTAGTAGTTCAGCACTTAACCAGTTGTGCCACCCAGAGACTCCTTCTTTATCATTGCTGTTGTTGAGTGCCATCATGTCAGTTCCTACTCATAAAAACCCTATATAGAGTTTTTGAGGAGCAGCTAGTGGATTTGAACTGCTGACCATGTGGTTTACAGTCCAGTGCTGATCCTATAGTACCACACAAGGAGTCCGCTTTATCCTTAAGCATGTGAAAAGTGATATTTGGAAAGAACTAGAAAAAAATCAAACATTCTGGCTCTGAGTTTGGAAATCATGATCATTCACCTTTTATCATTTGGATCATCTCAAAGCACTGGCCTGGGTACTTCTAGGAGTGGGAGGGTGCGAAGTTAGATAAGAAATGATATTTGTTCTTAAGTAGCGCAGTGACTCTGTAGGATAAACACTGGATTGCTAACCATAAGATGGGCATTTGAACCTGGCAGCTCCCATAAAAATGTATAGTCTAGGAAAGTCTATATATGGGGTTGGTATGATTTGGAACTAACCCAATGACCTTTAGCAACAGATTGTTCTCAGAGAGATACAGTATGACTGAGTAAATAAGAAAATTTCAAAACTGGAATGCAAGGCCAAATGTTACGAACAATGAGAATTTTATGTGGGAAAAGGTCACGTGTGCTTGGAAGGTTCATTCACTGCCATCAAGTGGATTCCAACTTGTTAGGAAGGTGTAAAGACTAATGGTGTGTGAGTGCTGCTTCTTACAGGATGGGATGAGAGCAACATAGTAACAGGCTGATGTGGCTGGGAGCAGGGAATGATGGAAACAAGAGAGAAGAGGAGAGGTGGCATGGGTGTTTGGAGAAGACTTACTTGGACAAGCAGACTTATCTCATGAGTATCAGAGGAACCTAGAGGCAGATGAAGAAGCTCTCATAGCATAGTGGTTACATGTTGGGCTGCTAATCTCACAGTCAGCAGTTCGAAAGGACCAGCTGTTCCGGAGGAGAAAGATGAGGCTTTTTGCTCCCATAAAGACTTCCAGCCTCACAAACCCTGTACAGGGTCACTATGAGTTCGGAACTGACTCCACGGCACATAACCAACCAACCAAGAGGCAGATGAGACTGAAAACATCTAAATAGCTAGAACGTATGAGTACCTTCTAGCAGGTATGTATGGAGGCCCCATACTTCAAGAACCACTGGATTTATAACATTGAGACTATAGGAGGAGATCAGTTGGAAATCTGTTGGAGTGGTCTAGGCAAGAGGTATAATTTAGTTAGCAGTGAAAATAAAAACAAGAAGGCAAAGCAAGAGATATTTTGAAACTCAAGTGGGCAGAACTTGGCATCTGATTGGCTATGGTGCATATGGAAGAAAGTGGAACAGCTGGTATCAAAAGTTTTACGTTTTGAGACACTTAAAGGTAGTGCTGAAGTTTTGTTTATCCATTTGAGTGCTTTATATTAATTTAAAGTGGTCCAGAGCTTACCTTAGTCTTACAGGTTAAGGAAAGGCTATGAAATGTCTAACTTTTCATGAGTAATTCTATCCTTAGTCTTTGCACCAAGGCAACAGCACTGTTATCTGCTGTGACTTCAGTTTCTGACGGCGTGTTAATTCTACCTGTGAACTCAACCTTCATTCAGAGATTAGCGTATTACTTAGCAGAAAGGTCTTCATGGGACATAGGGTCCTCCTACTTGAACCAGCATCTCAGAAGCTCACTCCAAAAGTCAGGATGATTTCCAGTGGGCTTTGTGTGAGGAATGTGAAGTATGTAGAATTTTAGTGAGTTTATAATTTTTCATTGTTTTGGGGTCTGTCCATTCCCCCCCCCCCCCCGGCTGTCTGTCACCTAGGTTACAGGTCAAAGCTAGTGTTTGGTACCAGATTTTTTTAAAGTGATGAAATAAAACAAATCAGTTGCCATGCAGTTGATTCTAATAATGGCAATCCAATCTGTGGCCGAGTAGAAGTGTACTCCTTAGAAATTCAGTGGCTGATATTTCAAAATTCAGATTGCAAGGGTTTTTTTCCATGTTGTCTCTTGATAGACTGAAGCCTCTTACCTTTTGGGAAGCAACCTAGCATGTTTGCACCACCCAGGGACTCCCAAAAGTGATTACCAGCACAACATATAGGACTTTATAGATGGAAAGAAGCTTTGACATGAAGTGATAATTTTGTCCATGAAATAGTAGTTTTATGCCTCATACCTCTTTCAGAATGAAAGAGATTATGTTCCCACTGGACTCTAAGCAGATTGGACACCTAACTAGCATTTGTTGTTGTTAAGTGCCATCGAGTCAGTTCCAACTCATAGCTACCCTAAATAGGGTTTCCGAGGGGCAGCTGATGGGTTTGAATTGCTGACTTTGTGGTTCACAATCCATTGCTTATCCTATAGCATGACACCAAGAGTCCTTAAGTGTTGTCGAGTCGCTTCTGACTCATAATGATCCCATATAGGGTTACTGAGAAGTGGCTTGTGGGTTTGAACTGCTGACTTTGCAACTCAAATGACCCTTGCAGTCCAGTGCGTTATCTTCTAGCACCACATGAGGACTCCTTAACCAGTATTGTTGTTGTTGTTAGATGCCTACGAGTCCTTTCTGACTCATAGTGACCCCGTATAGGGCTTCTGATGAGCGGCTGGTAAGTTTGAACTGCGGGCCTTACAGTTCTGTGGTCCGGTGCATTATTGCATAGCATCACATCATGACTCCTTAGCTAACATAGGCCTCACAAACCTTATTGTTAGACATTCAAAAACATGGGTATTATTACTGGATTTAGAACTGTTTCATCTTCAGTATGGTAGCAACTGGCCACATGTGGCTATTTTGTGTTCAAGTTTGAATTCATTAAATAACATTTAAAATTTGTTCCTTGCTGAATGAGCTACATTCTGATTGTTCAGTATCAAGTATAGAACATCTCCATCATTGCAGACAGTCCTGTTAGACGGAAGCAGATGTTGTCTGTGTTTATATCTGAGCCGTGAATGTTCCTAGGCCTTTGTCATCAGCGGTCCACTTCCACGTCCTGTGGTATCCTGGGTGCACTGTGAAGAAGCTCAGAACAAAGGAGTCAAGCAGTTCTGTGTCTATATCCTAGCTGTGCCACTCCTCAGCCAAATGATTTGGGGCAAGTTAGTTAATCTAAGCCTCTGTTTTCTCCTCTGAAAATGAGGTTAGGAAGCCATGTTCCATAAAGTTAAGGTGTGGATTAAAGGAAATTATACATTTGAACTACCAAGTTAGCTTGACTCATAATAAATTCTTAGTAACTGTTTATTTCATTGTTGTCGCTTATTGTTTATTATCCTCCGCATGATTATTCCAGCTCTTTACTGCTGTGGCGCCATAGGATAAGCATTGAACCATAAGGTTCAAACTCACTGGCCGCTTCTTGGAAACCCTAAACAGGGTCATTATGAGTCAGAACTGACTCGATGGCACTTAATAACAAATGTTCTGCAAGTATAAGGGTGCTGAGGCATGTGTTCTCAAGGTTGACTTGACTGTATGCATTTTGAAATGTAAACCAACAGATACAGACGATTTTACCACATGAAACTTAACACCTTGGGTTTGATAAACAATTTGAGAATTTATAATCTGTTATTTAGTAAAAGTCCCTGTAACCGGCCACTTAAGTTGCTGTCTTCATGGTTGTTGTTGTTGTAGTTAAGTGTATTGGAGTCGGTTCCGACCCATAACAACCCTGGATAGGGTTTCTCAGGAGCCGCTGCAGTTGAAATGGCTTTGCAGTCTGACTTATTAACCCACAGTGCCACACCAGGACTCAGTCTTCAAGGTATCTATAATCAAATGGAAGGAGCTCTGGTCGCTTAGTGGTTACAATTTGGGCTGCTAACCCCAACATCAGCAGTTCGAAACTACCAGCCTTTCTGTGGGAGAAAGATGAGGCTTTCTGCTCCGGTAAAGATTTATAGCTTCGGAAACCCTATACAGGGGTGCTATGAGTTAAAACTGACTCCATGGCACACCGTCACCACCATAATCAAATGGAAAGAGATGAGACTGAAGGATAAGACAAGTGCACAAGTAGCTATGTAAGGAGTATATGATCAGAGAGATGCACACAGATGGAAGATATGCAGGGAAGGAAAGTCATCCAATTGTGGGGAAGAAGGAAGTGGTAGCTGGTCTGGAATCTGGAAAAGGGGGTGTCTGCATTGCAGGTTTGATGGGGCTTCACTGGCAGTTCTTCCAGGAAGGGTGGCCATTGGAGAGGGGACAGCAGCCCTTTGTATTGGGAAGAGAGGGGGGAAGTGCCTTAGCTCAGTTGTTCTGGAACCTTGGACCCTTAGGAGAAGAGTCCAAAGGGGAAGGCTGGGTCACAGGAAGAATGGTTTGAATGTCAGTCCCAGGTGTTAACTTAATTGAGTACGCAGTGGGGAGCCAAGGAAGGTTGTAAACTTTCCGCTTGGTTCCACTAGAGCTTTGAAAGGGAAGAATGCATTCCTCTGGTGGGGGAGGGAAGGCAGGATGAATGGCTGTGTTTGATCTTATAAAGTAACTGAATTTGTCAAATGGCATTTCTTCAGCAGAGAAAAGAACATAGTTAAATACAGTTAAATACACAGGACACCCCACAGGTGTGCGGCTGTGTGCAGGCATGCACGCTGCCATTTTTCATTCGTGTGGGGGTGGGGGGTGCTCTCTTGCATTTATCTAAGGCAGAGATACTTACCTCACAGTTTCCCAGCCCCCACTCCCCCACAACCCAGATTAGGGCTGTTGAGTAGAGCACAATAGCAACTGGGCACCTTTGGGCTTTTTCTTTTTTTAAAAGTAGGAAGCAGAAGTTTAATGGAACACTTATTTGATCTTTACTTACCTTTTAATTTTATTCTGTTAACACATGTCTTTCACTAGCTTTTCAAAATTAGTATTGGATTATTTCTACCCCTAAATACCTACATGCATATGCATAGCTATATTTTTAAGCCTTATACTACTTTTTGTTACTCTACAATGTAAAACTTAAAATATTGAACTTATTTCCTACCTTGGATGTATGTCCTTGAAATGAAGGGCCAAACAGGAAACAGCAAATTGATCAGTTAACACATGAAAAATAAATGCTTCTAATTCCCTCAGCCTGCTCTTAAGGTTTCTCAACCATTTGCAGAGCTATTGAATATCTAGTCTGTAGTTTTACTTTTGTTTTTCTAGTCTTAAAAAACACTGGTCTTTAAAGTATGAATGGTTTTGAGAATGGGATGTTTCTTACAGTTGAGGTGTGCATTTATTGTGGCCATATGCTAGCCCTGAAAAGTTACTAAATTGGAGGTAAATATTTAAAATGATACTTTGGAATCAGGTTAAAGAGTTATTTTAGAAGTGTTCTGTTGAAATATTACCTCAGCCTGCTGCCATCCCCAGTGTCTAGGATAAGCCTTGGGGTGCCCCCTCCCTCCTGACCAACCGCTCTTACAGACTCTCTACAGTTAGAGGAAAATAGGAAACTCCTGTGTTCTCCCTAGGGCTTATACTGAACAGCCAAACCCATTGCCTTCTATTCAATTCCCTCTCACAGTGACCCTCTATGACGGTAGAACTTCACCATAGGATTTTTGTTTGTTTGTTTCTCTTTTTATTTTATTTTATTTTTTTGAATTGGGTAAAGATATACATAGCAGATCAATTTTCCATTCAACCACTCATACATTGTTTATTTTATTTACTGCAGTCCCCACAATGAAACACTTCTTTCATCCAGCTTCCTCCCTGGGTTTCTTGCTTTCCTCCTTTCCTAATTCTTTTGAACTTTGTCATTGGGCAAATGCTGCCCTTGTGATTTTAATTGGCTGATTATTCCAAGGTGTGTATACCTCCCCAGTGTTATTGTCCACCCCACCCCCCACCCTCCCATGTTGTTGTACTGTAGGATAAACACTAGACCATAAGGTCGGTTTGAACTACAAGACCAGCAGTTCAAATTCACCAGCCACTCCTGGGGAGCCCTATACAGGATCTCACTGAGTAGGAACCTACTAGATGGCACTTAACAACAACAGTGATGTTATTAGGTGTCATTAAATTGGTTCTTACTCAGTGCTACCCTGTGCACCACAAAACAGAACACTGCCTGGTTCTACACAATCCTCACAATTGTTGTATTTGAACCACTGCTGCTGCCCCTGTCTCTCTCCATCTCTTTAGAGAGGTCTTCTTATTTTTCACTCAACCTCCACTTTACCAAACACAACATGTTTGAAGTGTGATGGGCAGTCTCCACATCCTGGCTTTTAAGGAGCATTCTATGTGTTCCCCCATAGACTTGTCTGTTGTTTGGCTGAAATTCCAGCCATGGAGGTGAATTCATTTCCAGACCTTGTTGTTGTTGTTAAATGCTTTCAAGTTGATTCCAACCCATAGTGACCCTGTATAGGGTTTCCAAGGAGCAGCTGGTGAGCCTGAACCACTGAGCTTGCAGTTCAAATGACTTTGCAGTCTATCGCATTAACCCACAGCATCACACCAGGACTCCATAAAGGTGGCTAATTTCCAGATCTGTCTGTTGTTTGGCTGAAATTTCAGCAATGGGGGTGAGTTTATTTCCAGACCTTAAGGTTGCACAGTCAGTAAAGCACAGTAAACCCGTGTGACTCTGTGGGCTAATGCGCCAGACTGCAAAAGGTCACTATGGGTTGGAATCAACTCGACGGCACTTAACAACAACAAGGACCATAGTCTCATGGGTTCCACCAATCCCTTTCCAATCATTAAGCCTAGTTTTGAGTTTTGCTCTACGTTTTCTACCCACTTTGTCCAGGACCTTGTATTGTAATCCCTTTCAGTGCTATTGGTACCAGTAGCCAGGCAGCCAGGCATCATCTAATCCTTTGGGTCTCAAGGTTGTGGAGCCTGATGTTTGGGTGAATCATTAGTCTGTTAAATTCATTGTTTCCTTTTGTCATCAATTTTCATCATTCTTTTCCCCTTCAGACTGAAAGAGACCAATAGTTGTACCTTTCATGACTATTGATAAGCTTTTAAGACTGCAGTTGTAAATCACCAAAGTAGGATGGTAGAGCATTCTCTTTGTAGACTGATTATGCCATTGACTTTGATGTCACCCCAAGATTATATTCCTGAACCCCTAGGTCCAGCAACTCATTTCCTGAGGGTATTTGGTTATGTGTAAGAAGCTCTCATAACTTACCACCTGTGTGCTCCATCACATTCATGGCTACATTTGCAGCAAAGGTGCAGATATCCAAACCTTTATACTTCCAGTCTCCCGCCCACACCTGTTCATCCTGCACGTCTTATCCATGCATCTACTGTTAGGTCACTGTTATTGCAGGACTGTATATGTACCAGTATCTCCCTTGGTTGCCTTGACTCTTAACATTCCTCTCAGTGTCTTCTCCTTCCTCCATCATTTTTTTTGGGGGGTGGGGCAAGGCTGTCATTTTTATGGAAGCAGATTGCCCATCTTTCTCCCACAGAGCAGATGTTAAGTTCCAATCGCTGACCCATCAGCAGCCTTGTGCTTAGCCCTGCATCACCATGTGTCCTCAGGACTCGCAGCCAGGGTATGTGGCAACAGCTATGGGAAAGCTGGAGACAGCTGACCTGACCGCTGTGTCAGGAGCCTCCAGGTCCCACCCAGGCCCCCCAGGGTGAGTTGTTGTTAAGTGCAGTCACTTCCGTTCCCTCTCATAGTGACTCTTTATAGGGTGTCCGAGGAGCAGCTGGTGAGTTTGAACCACCAGCCTTGCAGTTCAAACAGACCTTGTGGTCAAGTGCTTATCCTACAGCACCACACCAGGACTCCACAACAGGGGTGAGAGGACCTCTGTAATCAAGACAGCTGTCAGGCCCTGAGGAGCTCTGGTGGCACCAACAGTTAAACACTTGGTGGTTTGGACTCACCCATTGGCACCGTGGAAGAAAAGACCTGGTGATTTGATTCTGTAAAGATTCTACTCTATCACAGATGTCTCTGTGAGATGGAGTCAGCGTCATGGCACCTAACACCAGCCACTCCTTGAAAACCCTACACAGGGTCACTATGAGTCGGAACCGCCTCAGCGACACTTTACAACAACATCAGTATCTGACTGCTCTGCTGTCCCTGTCTTGGATTTATTGTTTTAGAAGCCATCTTTCCATCCAAGGTAGTGATTTGCAGGTCACTGTTTAACAACCCTGATTTCCATGGTATACATTCCCATACTGAAGAGGAGCTGGAAAGAGATGTTTGTAATCAGCTCTTCTGAGCACACAGGAGGTGGCACACCATTGATTCCAGGTGCACGGTGTCCAGTAGGAGACATCAGCTGGTCAGTGAACTCTTGCGGCCATTACAGCCTTCTTTGAAACTCCTCCATGTCTGGGAGCTTCTGGTCAGGTAGCATCAGAATGAGCCTTCATTTGATTCGTAATCTGTTAGCTGGTTTTGTAGTGCTGGATGAAAGAGTTTGGCAGGGTCCCTTTTTTGAAAGGATGATGGTCTAGAAATTTATTTGCTCTTAACCTGTTTGTGAATAATATATGTGTACTTACAACAGATTTTCAATAAGTGATTCTGAGTAACAGGCCAAGTGGGAAGAAGAAAAAACTTTTAAAGAGCTATTCCCTGTCTCTACAGAATTTAAGCAGCAACCCAAAATATATCTAGAAATAACGTCAGTTATTGTGGAGACTCAGGTTTATAAGTAAATATGAACATAGTCCTTAACTTCTGAAGGAGCAAAGGAGTGATGAAGGAGGCCAGGCCTCATCTTCTGAAGAGGGAGCTTTGGATGCCTACATCCTCCTAACCTGTGCTGCTGTCTGTTCTTACAGGATCTGGCCCTGGAAGAAGCTGTTCTTGAGGAGCTGACACAGAAGGTAGCTCAGGAACATAAAGCTCACAGGTAAGAGAGGGGTGGGCAGAGAGGGTAAGGGACTGCCTGACCCAGCAGGGGCCCAGTCTCCACAGGGTCAACAGAGAGGTGTTTCTTCCAGCATGGAACAAAGTCCTTGTGTTCTAAGAAGTGCATGTGGGTTTGACACGGTGCTCTGCTCCCTCTGGCACTCTCCCTCCTTCTTTTTCTTTGCCTGCCTGCCTGCCTGCCTTTTTTTCCTTCTTCTCTCTCTCCCCACCTTTTTTCTTTAATTCCAGAAAGCCAGTGCAGATGTAGAGTTGTTGGCCAGGAAAATTCCTCTCTGTGGTTTTTCAAAAAATCTGTTGGCCAAGTCTGGAAAGCCTAGGACTGCTTGTGCTCACTCACAATAAGGCCTAAAGAGCTACTTTGGGAGGAAAGTGAAGGCCATGGCCACCTCCCATCCATCTGTGTGTCCCTTGAGAGGGAGAACAGTAGGGAATAAGGTGGATACTTTAAGGGAGCACTAAGAGTCTGATGTTTTGGACCAGCGCAACATAAATCTCTTTCCCTGCTGACCTCAGAGGACCTGCGCAGTAGTAATTCTTGGTTCTGTTGTCTTGGCCACTTGGCTCTCAAACTCACACTTTTGCCTTTTTCTTTCTTTTTTTTGTTGTTGTTTGTTTTAATAGTGGAGATTTCTCCCAGGTGTTTTTAGGGCTGTGATTCTTAAGTAAATACTTTGACCTTCCTCTTCTTATTCCCTGTTGAGTAAGTAAAAGGCTCTGGGGACTATGCTAATGAATTAGCTACTAACTCACTGGTGCTCTCACAGTCCGGTGATGATTGCTCTTCCCAGAAACTATTGCTAAACCACAGCTCTGGAATTTGCTATCAGGAGGGTGGGATCTCCCATTGACTTGGTTGCCCTTAACCACTCCCTGCTTTGATGTTGTTTATTTTGATATTAGTGGAATCCTGCCAGCGGAAGCTGAACTTATGTACATCAATGAAGTGGAACGTTTGGATGGGTTTGGACAGGAAAGCTTCCCTGTAAAGGTAAAACCTACTTTGACATATCTTTGCTTTAATTGTCTCAGAAGGGCCCAAAGCAAACAAAGCAAAATCAATCGCTTTTGAGTCCTTTCCAACTCAAGTTGGAATGTGTCTTGTGTCAGAGCAAAACACTGCTCCTTAGGCTTTTCAATGACTGTGATCTTTCTGAAGCAGACTGCCAGGTCTTTCTTCTGAGGCATCTAGAGGTAGGTTAGCACTTCTAGTCTTTGGGTTGCTAGCTATTCTAGTCTTTGGGTTGCTAGCTAAGTGCTTCAACCATTTGTGCTATGCATGGACTCGTAGAAGGGTGGGATCAGACATTTGAGGGGAACACCAACAACAGAGCAGTGGGCCAAATGGCTTGGCTTTGTTGTTGTTGTTAAGTGCCATCGATTCGGATCCGACCCATAGCGACCCTGTACAGGGTTTCCGAGGCTGTAAATCTTTACGGGATCAGAACGCCTCTCATCTTTCTCCCGGGGAGCAGCTGGTAGTTTCGAACTGCTGGCCTTAAGGTTCTCAGCCCAATTCGTAACCACTATGCTACCAGAGCTCCTTAAATGGCTTGGCTACATGGTCTTAATTGGTGAGTCTACTTTACTGTTAAGTCATGCAAACACTTTTTCTTTAATACAACATTTTGACGTATTCCATGGTCTTAGGTGTTGTTGTTGTTGTTGTTAAGTATCATGGAGTCGGTTCCAACTCATAGTGACACTGCACAGGGTTTCCGAGGGTGTAAATCTTTACAGGAGCAGAACACCTCATCTTTCTCCCTCGGAACCGCTGGTAGTTTTGAACTGCCGACCTTGAAGTTAGTAGCCTGATTCGTAACCACTACGCATAGTCTTCGGTAGAATATCTTATTTTGAAGATAATGTTGTAAGTGAGTTCCAAACAGCCACCCATCTTGTGCCTTGGAGGTATCAGAGCACACATTCACCTTACAAAAGGACATAGGTCTGATGTCACAGGTGCATTCATAAAGACCTGAGCCAGTAGTCTTCCTCGTGCAGATTCTCTTTGTCTTCCTTGAGCTGATAGAGGCGCAATGTTTGTTGGGTAGAAAATTTCTTGTGTGCAATCACACTTTATTTCCCCAGTTTCTTGAGCCTTCCATTTTGGGTTCCCAGGCTCTCTGGTCTTTACTGGAAATCATGCCTAGGAAGCTGTTAATAACATGTCATATCCTTTGCAACAAACATACCTCCAGAAGTGGGTGGGGTTGAGGAGTGGGTCATGGTGCATGCTAATTTATAGGGCTGAGCCCAGGTCCAAACTCATTTTCCTCGCTCTGCTGACCAACTTTACAAAAAATGGAGTTTTATCAGAATCCTAAAGCAACTGGCACATTTCAACAATTTAGGAAACGCCTGCAATTTCAGCACAAACAATCCGCTCCACACTGGCTCCACTGGCAGGTTTATAAGTGTTCTGTTCCCGCTTCGGTTGTGTGTTTGCAATTTGCCTTAATGAGAACTGCCCATGTGCATCAAGTAGAATCGAGCAGGGTGGCCGCAGCTTGCAAAAAGGGCTAAATGACTCTTTTTTAGATTTGTTTAATTTTCTTTTGCTTCTCTAATGGCTGCCCTTCGTAGGGTTGTAATCCATTTTCCTTGCAATAATGCCTTATGAAGCCATCTGCATCCCACTTACGTTTCAGCAGCCCATATATAGTCATGATATTTTGGGTCATTGAAAAATCAGAGTAAACTTTTCTCCACTTGTAGGAAACTGACTTGCAATCCCTTGAAGTTGGGAGTTTGGTTGTTGTGGTCATATGCTTGTTTTGTTTCCAGTAATGCTGAGCTGTGGGAAATAGGGGCAGTTGAGAGCATATTGAAACCCACTGTGCCTGGTTCTGATGCAGTTTTTTAGTTCGCTCTGTAGTGGGACAGGTTCTTAGGGGGGAGACTCTAGCCTACCGTGTGTGGTCATACAGGCACTGCTGACTCAGTCATTCGAGACTTCACTGCGCTTCTTTTTTTTTTTTCCCTCTTTTCCCTCACATATCTGTTCATGACTTACGTGACCACATATGGACCACACCATTCCTGTAAACCCAATGACGAGGGGTGGGGGCACCAGAAGTGGTGGGGGTGGTGATGTAGCCAGTTCTGAGATGAGTGAACGAACACACACACAGGAAAGCATCTAGGGAATGTCCATGTTGTCGTTTCTCTGGGTTAGGATAGGGCCTTATTGAACAAATAAAGTAATAAGTATGATATAGGCATATGCTAGAAAAAAACCATTTTTATTTCTTGTGGGCTTTTCCGTGAGTGGCTCCTCAAAAATTTGTAAGACTGGAAGAGAACCAGCCCACTTTCAGATAAGTCTGCTTCTCTTCCTCCTCCATAAGCTGAGGTGTGGCTGCTGCCCAGGTTCTTGAGATTAACAGCCCAACACCTGACCCATAGCACCTCCAGGGCCACTTTTCCAAAGTATCACAGCCATTAAAACCCCAGCGGAGCTCAGTTCTATTCTGACACACATGGGTTACCATGAGTTGGAGTCAGCTCTGCAGAAGCTGGTGTGGTTAGAATGTGCATTGGGGTGAGTCCCTCTAGGAACTGCTCCCACACACAGATGGCTGCCCTGTTGCTAGGAGGCTGCTTATGATTCATGCCATTTGTGGGTGAGAAACAGAGTGGGGTGCCCATGGGGAGACTGTGGCCCAGTGTTTGGTTCGGAAAGGCTGCTGGGAATCTGCGTCTTCACAAATCTCTCCTGTTGATCTTGTGCAGGACAATCACGGAAATGGCGTGCACCTTGATATTTTCTTTATGGGGATTTTCGTGAGAAACAGAATTGGAAGACAAGCAGTCATATACAGGTAGCCTTATTTTTTCTTTCTTTCTTTCTTCTCCTTCTTCCAGTCCAAGACTATAGAAAATACACTGGGCATTGGCTTTATCTGAATGAGTGGAGAGCCAAATTCTGCAGTAAAATTGAACTTAATCAGATATCATCAGCTCTCTGAGAGATGTAAGGAGCTGTGCAGAAATTCATCTCCCTTTTCTTGGAGGGCGATGATGGGGATGGGAATGGGAAACCTGCTCCCTACCTGACTCCAGGAAACACCAGGTCAAAACCCTTAGAGGCTAAGAATAGGCCTACCAGTTGCATTTGACTGAATCAATACTTGTTGTTAAGTGCCGTGGAGTCGGTTCCGACTCATAGCGATCCTGCACAGGGTTTCCGAGGCTATAAATCTTTACGGGAGCAAAATGCCTCATTTTTCTCCTGCGGAACCGCTGGTAGTTTCGAACTGCTGACCTTGCGGTTCACAGCCCGATTCATAACCGCTACGCTACCAGCTGTTAAATCCAAATCTCTCCATTGTGCTGAACCTCCTTTCCCTTCACATGGACTGTTGTTAAGTGCCGTCGAATCATTCCAACTCATAGCAACCCTGTATAGGGTTTCCAAGGAGTGACTGGTGAGTTTGAACCATTGACCTTAACGTGGACTAGAACAATGCAAATTCATTTTTATATTAACCCAAAATTATTTGTGAAAGTTTGTTCTGCAGAAGCAAACCTTATTATTATCATGATAATTTAAAGGACCTTTGTACTGTTTTTTTTTTTTTTTTTTTTTATAACTTTGTATTGTGAATTGAGTGAAGGTTTACAGACAAGATCATCAGTTTTACATTCAACAAATCATACACTTTGCTTCATTACAATGGTTGCAATCTCCTCCCTGTACCATCAGTTAGCAGTATTTATCCCTATTTACTTATGTATTGCATTCTCCCTGTGTTACCATCATATTTCCTCTGCTAACCTCCCTCTTGTATGTTGCCTGTCCTGTCACCCTTGTTAACATGTGTCTACCCTCTAGTCTGTGAATAAAACTCCCTCTCCCCTCCCACTGATTGTTTCTTTTATCAGGAAAACCTTTTAACGTTTTACAACACTGACCTCATACAGTATTTGTCCTTTTGTGATTGGCCAACTTCACTCAGCATAATGTCCTCCAGGTTCATGCGTGTTGTGAAGTGTTTTACAGATTCATTGTCATTCTTCAGTGTTGAGTAGTAGTCTACTGTGTGTATGTTCCAAAGTGTCTTTAGCTTTTCTTCTGTTGATGGGCATTTAGCATGTCCCCATCTTTTGATATATCTCATGTAGACAGCATATCACAGGGTCCTGCTTTCTTCTTTCTTCTGCATTCTCTGGTGCTTCGATCCATTTATATCTAATGTAATTATCAATAGGTATGGATTGATTGCTTTCATTTTTCTGCGTGGTTTTTTTTTTTTTTTGGTGTGGTGATGCTGGTTTCTTTCTTCCACGTAATTTTCTGTGCTTAGTTAATTTTGTTTGTGGTGTTTCCATTTTAATTTCTGTTGTGTTAATCTTTACTAAATCTTTCTGATTTTTCTCTTTTTAAAATTTTGATGTGCAGGTCTATTAGTTTTCTTTAAGGTTACCCTGTAATTTATTATTTTTTCACCTGTCTTATCTTAAAATCTACTTGACTTCCTTGCCATTTCGGAGTTCTGTATCTACACTCCTGCCTCTTTTTTGCTTTGTGGTGGTGGTGGTGTACCATCGGGTTGGTACAAGGCTGTAAATCTTTGTTGTTGTTGTTGTTGAGTGCCGTCGAGTTGCTTCCGACCCATAGCAACCCTGTATAGGGTTTCCAAGGAGTGGCTGGTGAGCTTGAACTGCCAACCTTGCGGTTCAAGCCGACTTTGCAGCCCAGCGCGTTAACCCACAGAGCCACACTAGGACTCCTTTACAGGAGCAGAAAAGCTTATCTTTCTCTTGCAGAGCTGCTGGTAGATTCAAGTTGCTGATCTTGTGGTTAGCAGTCTAACGTGTAACCCACTATGCTACCAGGACTCCTGTAGTTGACTTCATTATAAATGGATATCTCTGCTTCTCTGTTTTCAGTCTTGTAGGTTTATTTTACTTTGGAGTCTTCTGTATCTGGATTGAATTCTGGGTGGTGTTGTCATCTTTGGTTGTTACCTGCTGTTGTTGGTTCTTAGTCCAGAACCTTGGTACTATTTATCGTTTTGATACTTTAGAACTGTTTCCCAATCAGCCTGAGTAGTGTCAGTATTGGGATGTGACAAGGTGCTGCACACCCCCTCCCATTCGAGTTACATGTCCACAAGCCTGCTTTGTGTTGATACCCATAGATTTCATCATAATGTCAGTGATCTAAAAAACCGCAAGTTCGTTCATTTAACAGGGCAGTGTGGCCCATTATATATGGGGAGAAAAGTTTTCCCATATGTGCATGTGATACACAGAAGACCAAAGGTGGCTCTCAGAGACAAAGCACCGCCCTCTTTTTAGAAGTAGATCTTGGCCAGCCATGGGCTCTCTTGATCAGCAGTTACTGCAGGTTATTGTGAGACTTTAAAAATGAAGCTTCCTGATTAGACTTCATTTCCTGGGTCCCCACCCTGCCATTATTTTAGGATTTTGTCTCCATCTATGAATAGAAGCACTGTTGAAGTGAAAGTGGGCAGAGAGCTCTTCGGAGCTACACAGTGAACTTTTTTGCTTATTCGGAATCAAATCTATATATGTGCAACAAATAATGAATCAGCTGGGTAAAATGTATACATTTGTATTGCCAGTCGAAGCTAGGCAAGCATTTTTGTCCCACACAATTCTCTGCCATTCAGTTAATGCTTTGGTTTCTCCATGATCCTGGAGGGGAGAATTAGACAAGTCTTTCATTCCAGCCATTGAGAGGGGATAGAAGAAACAAGTTCATGTACGATGAATGTAAGGGGCAACTTTTGCAGTTTTCTAGGATCTGCCTCTAGACCTCGACTTGGAAACCAGTGTAGATGAGAATTTGCATCCACGTCACTAAGGTATCATGCAGGAGTCCTGGTATGGTGCTATAGGGTAAGCACTTGACATCAAGGTTATTGTAAACTGCAAGGTTGACATTGGTTCAAACTCACCAGCTGCTTCTCAGAAATCCTATATAGGGTTGTTACGAGTCAGAACTGATTCAGCGGCACTTAACAATAACAACAAGGTATCATGTGGTGTCCTGGTGTGGCACTGTCAAATAAGCACCGGACTTATTCACGGCATTTCAAAACCCACCAGCTAGCTACTCCTCAGAAATCCTATATGGAGTCAGAACCTACTCTACAGCACTTAACACCAACATAGTATCATATGTGGAGCACTGCTAGTGCAATTCATTAAGCACTCAGCTACTGACCAAAAGATCTGTGATTTGAACCCATCAGCCACTCTGGAGGAGAAAGATGTGACTATCTGCTCTTGTACAGACTACAGTCCTGGAAATCCTAGGGAGCAGTTCTCCTTAGCCCTATAGGCTTGCTATGAGTCAGAACTGATTTTATGTCATTGGGTTGGTTTTTTTAGTTTATAGTATAATCACTGTGGGTTAATGCATTGGACTGCAAAGTCAGTGTGAACTGCAGAGTTGTTTTGAGCTGCAAGGTCCGGTTCAAGCTCACCAGCTGCTCCTTGGACACCCGATACAGGGTCGCTTTGGGTGGGAACCAACTTGATGACACTTAACAACACTACCATGTTGTAAGGAGGTCTGGTGGTGCAATGGGTAAACAGTGGGCTTCTCTGAAGGTTGATGCTTAGAACTCATTCTGTGGTCTTGGAGAAGAAAGAAGACAGACCATAGAACCCTATGAGGCCATTTCTACTCTGTCACATGGGGTCGCTATGAGTAGAAATTAACCTAGTGGCACCATAGTATAATGTAAATTATGCCACTGGGCAATGTCACATGTTGGGGCAAGGCAAGCTTCCAGAGTTTGGGCCGTTGGTTTGAAGGAATGGAGCCAAGGGAAACCAAATATTTCTTATCTCTAGAGACCTTCACTGATGATCATGTAGCTATGAGTACGTGCTAATGTGCTCTGGTAGGATTGTCAGGCAAGCAGCAAGCTGTGTGAGCACCTGCAGACATGATTGCCCCAGCAGATGTACTTAAACACGGTTAGTCACACCCCTGACAAACATAAGGAATTAATCTGGCAAAATCCTGTACTCCATTTGTTCCTCAGTTGCCTCATTTCTAATGTAGGAGCAAGAATCACTGCCTTGTCTAACTTAGAGAGTTGATAAAGGAATCATATTCTGATTAGATGACAGGCAGCATCATTATTTCAACAACCGTGTATTGAGTCAGCTAGGTGACATGCATTTGATTGAGTCTTACTTAGAGTATAGAGATGTAGAAGGCAAGAATAAAGAATGGCTTCCTAGGGAGGCTGACTTCTGAGCTGAGTCTCACACAGGGTAGCTGGGAATTAACCAAGCAAAGGATGTGGAAACGCAATGAGCATCAGCGCATGGAATGACAAAGCAGTGCGTAGGGGATTAAATGTAGGGGTACAGTAAAGGATAAATCCTTAAACCCATTGCTTTTCAAGTCAATTTCAACTCCTAGCGATCCTACAGGACAGAGTAGAACTGCCCCGTAGGGTATTCTAGGCAGTAATCTTTGTAGAACCAGATTGCCATTTGTTTCTCCCAGCAACCATCTGGTAGTTTGAACAGCCAACCTTTGGGTTAGCAGCTGAATGCTTAACCACTGCACCACCAGGACTAGGAAAACCAGTTGTCATGAAGTCAATTTTGATTCATAGTAATCGCATGTGCATCATTTTCAAAGGATGATTTTTAGGAAGTAGATCACCAGGCTTTTCTTCCAAGACATCTCTTGGAGGGACTCAAACCTCCAACCTTACAATTAGGGTGTGAACTGTTTGTACCATCCAAGGACTCCGGGTAGTAGTAAAAGATGATTAGAAATTGGCTCCAAGTAGAATGAGAAACTTAATTTCACTTGTGTCTCATTTTGGATAAAGTCTCCAAGAGAAAAGAGGGAGCCTTGATTTTTGTTGTTGTTTCTTTGTTTAGATCACAACAATGTAAACACATTAAACTCTCTGTAGATATCTCTAGGTGGCAAAACTAATTGGCACCACACACTGTAGAATCTGTGTGGAGTCTTCAGCCTACCTTCCTACAAACAGGATTTTTAAATAATATGCTCAAGTCCTTGGCAGATTTTTTTCATTGCTCATCATAAAGGATGCTATACTTTATGAAGAATGCCAGATGGATTTATTTTGCACCGAGTTTTGAAATGTTTAAATAGACCACTTGTTTCATTTTCTTTACTCTTCTGTTTTGAGGTTAGGAAACTTGAGCCTTAAAAAAATATCACTAAATCACTAATTTATGTTACAAGACTTGACATAAGCAGATGGCCCTTCTAGTTGAATTGTAAATGCACAGAACATCTCCGGTTAGCATGTTTTGTTTCTTTTGACCAGGTGGAATGATATCGGGAATATTACTCATAACAAGTCCACCATTCTCGTGGAGTTCATCAACAAAGAAGAGACTGCCCTCTTTCACACGGTGAGCAAAACAGATGCAAGCAGGGCAAATGCAGCTTGCTGCTGGACCTCTCAACTCAATATTCTTTCCCTTTGCTCTCCACTACTTGAAAGTCTAAAAGTTCGGTTGAAAAGATACTCTCACGTACTTCCCCAGTGCTGCCGTATCCCATTTCAGGATAGCGGTGGTGAAATAACCATGCTCAAACTACCAGGTTTCCCTGCTGGTTTTTGACTCTAGGATCAGGATTCCTCTACCTGCCTCATTTGTGGTGGGCCACATTGTGTGGCATGCTGCAGTCCTCTGTACTTTAATTCCAGCCCAGTTCTCTTACATTGTGTTATCTTTTGCTGGCTGACTTCCTTTGTCATCCTATCCCATTGCCTAGACCGAAGTAAGCTGTGAGACTGCCCTTTTGCTGAGTGCTTCCTTGAGAGCCAATACCACCCAGGCCTCTCATTTGTTGATGTTTGGTGTTTATCCCAGGCTCCGCTGTGATTCATATTTTTAAAGCACTTGATGTGGAATTATGTAAAGATATGCCAGACTATCAATGTAACCCCAACCCCTTGGGCATGAAGGACTCTAGCAGATCATATTGTCTGCTACTCTTTGGTGGGCTTGTAGGCATTACTGCTGCTGAATTTTGGCAGCCTAGTGTGGTTGTTTTGTGGTTAGAAAGAAGAGAGGGAGGAAAGTGCCCCTGTCCGAAGTAATCCAAGTGAAATAAAATGCATGTATAGTCAAACAGATGTGTATTTTTATTCTCTTCTCTTTTCTTTTCCAAGGATGATATCGAAAATGCCAAATACATTTCTCGGCTGTTTGCTCTACGACACAAGTTTTACAAACAAAACAAAATCTGCACGGAGTAAGTAAATATTGAGTTCACCCTCAGGCTGCTTTGCCAGAGGAAATGCACTTGATAAATGTGGTGCCATTCACTCTTTTTCCTCATTCCTTGTAGACACTAAAGAAAGAAGTAAGCAAAAGCCAGGCAGGACCAGAGACTTTAATGATGAAATCTGTCAAAACGTAGTACATGAGTGTAGAGGGAAAATAGTTCCGCAGATTGACTCCGAGTGCTGAATTCCCAGATGGGCTGACCTGCATTAGCCCCTCACTGGTCCTTCGCTCTGAATTTGGGGTTGCTGAGCAGCTCCCAATTTGCTGGGGTGCCCCTCTTGTCAGATGTGGAGTACGTTCAGAGGTGTGCAACCGAGTGATGAGCCAGCTTGAAAGTGAAGATGTGGCTGTCATCCTCTGTCCCGTTTCGCTTACACAGTTGGCGAACGCTGCATGTGCTTCTGGGTCATGTCACCTGACTGTAAATGAGCGGCCCAGGTAATTAGAGGAAGAATTGGAAGACGCTAATAGCTGTCGCCTATCCATGTGTGTTTTTTTTTTTTTTTTTTTAATTAGGAAGTAAAGGTAACACAGAGGAGTCTGAGGAAGGAGCTTCCAAATGTGCCCTGACCTTCAGTGTATCGTGCTGGGGCTCACACGAACAGGGTCTTTACCTTGGTTGCCTTCAAAGACCTTCCTTGGCAGAATGTGTTCCGCAGTTGGGGAGCCCAAGGTGTTTAATTTTGTTTCAAAGAGCCACAGGGATGGAAATGCAAAAGGACTGCATTTCCACTTCCCCGTGGACACATCCAAGAGCAGGAAGGGAGTGTCCTGGATCAGCTGGGGCTGAAGGGCACTGCTGCCTTCTAACTGGATCGTCGGGTCAACCAGGACTTCTTTCTACACTTCATGGAGGCTTTTCCAAACCAGTCACTGCAAATTGGTCGCTGTGGAGGTCTAAAAGTACATCTGATCTTATTGGGCCTGCCGGCAAGGTTTGCAAATGTAACTCAGAGGAAGGACAAATCAGGGAGTGGTAAATTAAGCAGCTATATCTTCCTTGTAGGTGCACTCTGGCATGTACAACCACACACACACACACACACACACACACACACACACACACACACACACTCACACTCACACTCACACTCACTCACTC